TATATATATATATATTCTATTTCTATATTTCAAATTATTTCATAAATTCGATAAATTCTCTATCAAATTCAGAATCTTCGCCTCCAATCTCTATTTATATTCATATTATTATATCTTTAAATTCTCATAATATAAAATATATCTCTATATAAATTTAAATATAATCAAATATATGAATAAATTAAAGAAATAAATTAAAGAAATAAATTAATAAATAAATCTACAAGTAAATATAAAATTTTCAAATATAGAAATAATGAAAGATAGAAATAGAAAAGATATAGATATATCTAGATAGATAGAGATAGATTCATAGAGAGATATTCAAATATATAGAAAGATGATCAGAGAGCTATATAAGTTGATATATAAAGAAATAATCAAATAGATATATTAATGGGTAGATATCTATTCAGAGAGACTCCTAGAAATATCTATATTCAGAAAATACGGAACTCGAGCTCGCAATACGAATCAATATTTTATAAAGTCTATAACCAAGAATATACCTATCAATCCCTGTCGTATTTAGGAGCCAATTATCCCTTATGCACGGGCCCTTGAGTCAATTCTTAAGCTTTAAGCCTTCCACACTTCCTTCCCCATTTCAAGTATACACACCCACCCTTCTACACCGGAACCTTGTGCGCACTCCTTCCGCACATCGATTTTCAAAGCTACGGGTCCGCAAATCTTCCGCGAATACGACTATCGCTGTCGCACACCTTCCACGCCCATTCGTTAATACCGACCCTTATCTACCTAGTCCTTCGAAAATATTCGCCGCTCAAATAGTGAAATTAATTATGAGAAATCAACAATCTAAACAGAATCACGAGCGCAAGCAACACGTCACCAACCTATAAGAGAATATTTCTAAGATTGCCCTTATATCGGATATAATTATTTATTAAAGTATATTAGTAGAAATAATACTAATAAATCTATATTAAATTCGCCGGTAAATAAGATATAATCTAATTATATACTACTCCGACCATTATTTCTTTTTCTGCTCTTGCCGCCGCCCTTCTTGAACTAGCATCTCTCGCTAAGGAACATCCATCCTCCGAATACATGTCGCGTAACGCGGACGCCTTTTACATAAAAATCAAGAAAGTAAAAAAAACTTGAAATCGGGCATTATATCACGTGTCATATCAAATTTTATTCGAGCTCATTGATTTGTAAGAATATACGAATACAGCCATATTTCATAACATCGTAGATATTTCTTTCGATTTCAATAGACTTGTAATTTGAGAACGATTTTCGAGGATACGATTGGGCAAATACTTTCGGAGAAGATAGTCAGAAAATGTATTTGGCACCGACGAAATTATCTAGGCATGCCCCTGCACATGGAATTTTGACAGCACTTTCTTAGAAAGCAGCCTTTGACTGGATCAGCAGCTCCTTGACCTGGCAGATTGAGGTTTCGATACCGGAACGGAATAGAGACCTCTTGTCTTGGAAGCCCTGAACCTTTACAAGGCGCCACCTCCTCTTCTGTCTCCAATGGCCGGTAGAAGAGACGATGCCTGGTCGGCTGAAAGCATGGCGATTGGGGGTTAGGGCCGTAACATGCACGACAATGGTGCTGTTCATATGTCATCTTACAATCCGATGTTGGATGAAGTCCAAATTCTATTAGAGTATGGCTGGAGTCAGTGCCCTGTGACAAGAATAGGGAGGCATGTTCCGGTGCGATTGCTGGAGGCTGACCAGTAGAAAGGCCCAGGACACTGCTGGCCAACTTACGCGTCAACTGCATTGTTGTCTGACATTCGTTGTCAACTTGCCGAATGCGAGTGCTTTGCGTCCAAGTTTCATGCACGTTCGAAACGTCTCGAAGACCATGCCCTTCGATGCTTCAGCGGCCGAAAGGCCGTAGCGACCTTACAACATGTGCTAGGGAGCGCAAGTAACAGATGGAGATCCCCCTTGACCAGTGCTTCCAGCCTCCAGCCGTTCATGTTGACCAAATGCTTAAGACAGTCTACGCATTGGAATGCTGCCAAGTGTAGCAAAGGTACTTGGAAGCGCCCACACATTCCGTCTTACTCTACCGGCGTAATGCCGACTGCCGTGCCTACAAACAAGTGACATGGCTTACACACCGCCGCGGCCAAGCATCTGGAAAGGCTGATCTGCAAAGCAATCTGCTCGTTGAAAGCTTCCCTGACTCTACCTGGAACAGTTTTCATCGACTTCCCAATCAAGAAAAAACATCATTTCAACAGCTGATCACCCGGCCATGGGCCAAGCACATCAGCGGAACATCTTCTTTAACGCCATCAACCAACTCACTGCTCCCCGAACAACGATGGAGGAACATGCCGGCCGCCTAACCTTAACACGCCGATACTGATCTGACCTTCGATGTATTGTGCCGGCAAGTTGCTGAGTGGAATTTTTTTGTAGATCTTGGCGCCTGCCGCCTGGAAGGTCGCAGCGACTCCAACACCCAGAGCCCCCCCCCCCCCCCCCCTACACACTCTCCGCACCCCAACATCAGCCCGTATGCAGTATGCTTGCCTTGTCCACCTTCTGGAGGGTTTCCAGGAGGTTTTCGAAGCTGCGCTGACTGCAGAGCATGGCACCAGATCTAGCCTGAGGGCTTCGAGCTCAACCTCACCCGGCTTCAGAGCTGTGTTGACCTTTGGTTCTGCACGACGTCAACGCATGAGGCATTTGGATCTATACTCGAGTGCCAGATGTCATGGGCATACCTCCGTGACTCGACCCGTCGCACGGAATCTTCTGCTAAGGGGGGACCGATCGGTCCCAATGTCTGAATGCAATTTTGGAATCTTGCCTTCACGCGGGCTACAACGTCGAAGACCTGACAGCTCAGCCACATTCTTCAAACCAGAAAAGCCGCTGCATATCATGCGCAATGGTTTTTGTGGGGCCGTACTTATTGGGGACATGTTTGAGAGTCCCTGAGTCGTACCGGCATTCTGGACTGTGCTAGCTTGCCCATGCTGGCTTGGAGGGGCTCGTGGAGCCTTAGGCAATGCCCGCTTCGTCTGATTCTGGAGGGCCAGTATGTTTTCGAGCCCTGCACCTGTTTGCGTCATCACCTTGCTCCTGGCATTCAGGCGACTAGGCACCAGTCCTTCTACCAGGGCCTGACTCAATCATGCATTCACACATAGACACACATAGCAAAGGCAACGCGGCCGAGCAGGGTAGGACGAACGCTTTAAATGACACTTGGCATGTCCGGAAGCAGCAAAAGCGACACTCTGCGCACGCACTGGAACGTTCCCTGTGTAAGTAGATCCCCACTGGTTTGAGGACGATTCTCGAATTTAGGGACACTGGAGTCTCTGGGCGCCCTTTGCCACCGGCCGGCCTGTTGCACAGGCGTCTCACGCTCCTTGTCAGCTTCGTGGGTTACAGCTCGAGGAAATTTAGCGTTCCAGCAGAATACGAGGCTGGATGCACAAACTTGCTAACTCGAATGCAGGAGAATGGGGCTGATGCGCATCGGCGACCCACTGCTTTCAAAATATACATACTAGTGTGCGAGTCTGGGTCTCTCTCTCTCTCTCTCTCTCTCTCTCTCTCTCTCTCTCTCTCTCCTGGGCATGGGGGACGGTCAAGTCCCCCGGGCATCATGCCCACCCAACTTGTTGTTGGGTTTAGGGCTCTCTCTCTCTCTCTCTCTCCGATGCCCGCCTCTGCCGCATCGGCGAGCGGCTTTGAGGCCTCTCAGCAACCCAAGGCTCGCATACATCCGCATTCCGAAGTCAGAGGCTCCCAGCCACGACAAGCAGCATGAAATCAAGCTTGGGAAACCGCTGAAGTGCTTCGGGCCTGATGACCATGACATAGGTCTCTTGTCGTGGCCGCATAATTTGTGAAACAGCTTTCAGAGTTCACGGCAATCCCACATTGTCCCACATCGTGCACGAAGAGTCCACAGGCTTTGGAGTGCAACATCGACTCACAGACTCTTTGTGGGGACACGGGAAATAACGATGCCTCCAAATCATCGCCCGATCCATTCTTGAATGCCTCGACAGTCGGCGCACTGTTGCTTTATATCTTGTAAGCTCTCTAAAGATCGCAGCGTCATGGTCCCGGGTTTGGGTCAAGGTGGCAAAACTATTTTCTCTCTTTACACAACTTCGCGGATCTTCGCGGAGTTTTGTCGAGGCACGTACCGGAAGCTTCCGAGTGCAGTGTAATTTGATTTGACACCGCCGATAGAACTCGACATATCTCCCGTCCAATGCGAAGACATGCAGAACAACCCCAACGACGAGTCTCAGGCCTTGCTCCCGCTCCACAGCCGAAGGATAAACATCAACTTGCGGATGCCTGGAGGGCGGTGGATGTAATGCTTGGCCCTTGAACATGGGACTTGAAGATCGATTTCCGGATTCAGGTTGTCGTTGCATGGGGCCTTGCTGGCTCGTACCATCAGCAGTGGCGAGTGGCGGGGCTTGCAGTCAAGACCCTTATCGCTTGACTCCGAGCCCTGACAGCCTAGACCCTTCGTTGTAAAACTGGACTTGCTTGATGTCAGCAGGTGCCAGAAGTAATACCCCCAGGCCCCTTACATCCTATTGGCACCGCCGTAAACGAACGGTTTCCTGAGCCGGGTTGGTGCAAAAGCCAGACAAGGCTTTCTTCTTCTGGGCCGGGTCCTCGCATGTACCCCCTTGTAGGGATAGGTTCGGGAGGCAAGTTCCGCACCTACCTCTCTGGCCTTGCCGTAGATTTGCAGCAGAAATTGTCGATAGACTCCCGGGCTCGGGGGGCTCTGTGCGCTTGCTGCCGAAACTCCCCCAAGCAGCCGCCCATAATAGACTGCAGCACTTCATAGGTTACGATATGACTACACTACAGTTTATGCTGAAGACTGCAATCATTCTGTAATGCTCTGCTGACCAGGAACTTTTCAGATGGTCATCGGACAGGAGCTCTTCCTGCCATTGGTGCTGGCGCGCAGGAGGTGTCTGAAGTCTTAACGCCTTTTGTGGCAATGCAAAGGTCATCGGCAGCCACAATTATGTCTTGAAGGAACCCACAAGACGATAAGCCCGGGGGCTTTGGAACCCCTATGCATCGAAGCTCGTGCTACCTTTGCGTTCTGTCGGGTCGCTGAGTCAATTTGGTCCCAATTCCAGGCTGTGGCTCCCGGCATACTGGGTTCTTTTTAATTACAGCGGTCACCCAGTCGAGTTAACTGAGGCTCTCAGAGTGCAAGGAGCTCATAACACCTTGTTCAGAGTTCTTCCCGTGCGGGAAAATGCTACACCGCTACTGCGAAAGCGGCCTCCTGCTCCCACGACCGAATAATCCTTATAACTGTAGGGTGGGGGCAGACCTCATCCACGTCGAACTCGTCGCCCGTTTCAACTGGCCTGCAAGGTCAGCAACCTAAAAACGCCGAATGATGCTTCCGGGGTGCCATCTCCACCTACATGAGGGCATTTCAAGCTTTGAGGGTTCACAGGACACCAACGCAACTGGGTCCGCGGCAGCTCCTCTTCACCTTCAGGGCAACGTAGTGTATGCTAAGCTGACTGTGCAAGTTTCATATGTTACATGCACACGAACTTTGAGTTCCTAGGTTCGAGTCCGGCTTGTTTTCGTAAGCCTAGCCATGTTGGTGCGCTCAAGATGCTTTCGGGAAGAGTCACAGTAGCCTGCAGCATTTTCAGACTGTGAGGGCACCAAATGGACCAAAGTCTTTCGATGACGGCATGTGTGGCAGCTGAATGTTCGAAGACAGGGCATTTTACTGCATCTCTCATCTCTGACGGTTAGATACTTACAAGTTGTACTCTTGATTGCTCTGGTATGTTGAGACTTACTTCATTTTCTCTCTTGCCCCTTTACTGTACTTCCTGCATTCCTGCCCGGCGACCAAGGGTATGAGCCACGCCTAGCTCCAAGATCCCTCCCGATTAGAATCTAGGACATCTATCCAATGCTGGACCCAATACTTTAGCTTCGGCGAGAAACCTTTTCAAACTCTTCAACCCTCTCGCCTCGCCTTCTTGCAGCTCTTCGGGTTCTTGAGGCTCCATCTCAGGGGCATGCTCGGCGGTCTTGGCAGTCTCCATCCTCTGGACAGTCAACCCCATGGCCGACATTTCCTCCGTGTCCGTCTCGCGCCCCTTCCGTGATCCTGGCGTCCGTGAAGTCGGTGATCCACCCAGATTGCCACTCAGTCCGGCTTGCGTCCCCTTTGGGGACGTGGGTCCGCAACCCATCACACTAAGACCGTCGGACGGCCCCTGCGCACCTGTCTCATGCACGGGGCTGCCCACCGCGTTGCGGATGGCTTTGTCCAAGGCACTGTTGCAAGCGGCCTGTGACCGTCCGGAAGCTGGTGACATCCTCGGATCTCCAGGAAGAGATAATCTGTTCGATCTCACACTCGGACAGTGCCATGCAAGGATCTCGTGAGTCGCAAACTGACGTACTGCCGGATGCCTGCCTTCGTGCCTGATGTCATGCATACATATCCCGGGCAACTACCAGCACGTCAGATTCGACCTCGCGCAGTGCAAAGCAGCCGAGCGTCATGGTCAGTACGCCCAAGACACCCAACTTGTCCTCAGCGCACAAATGCAGAAAGATCTGCAGCAAGCATCATCTTCTCTCCAGCTATCTCAGGCCCAGAGTTGGAGTTCTGGCACAGACTCCCTGGCGGGGAAAGATGCTTAGGCCTTGGCACCTGCCGAAGGAAGTGTGCTGCATTGTAGACTCAGTAGCCCTGCTGAGTTGTGAACCGTCGAAGCAGTCTGAAAAGCCCATCGTCCAACCCTTACACTGACCCCCCTCGGCGCTTAGGACCCAGGCCAGAGCACGCTTGCACTGCGTTGCGAAGCCCTGAGAGCGCTCCTCGCAAAAGAAAGGCTGGCAAGAGGCAGGTGTCTCCATCATGCAAACTAGGACATAGACTCTTCGTGGTTCCTAACTGACCATGTCCACAAGCTGCGAGCTTCTGCGCTTCTTTCTTGGGTGTCATCTCTCTGCCATAGCGGGTCTTCGCAGTGCAGTCTGCGAGAGAACTCGCGTGAAAGCCTGCGATCTGTGCATCCAACGCCACGTCTGTGAAAGCATCAGCGCGCTCGTTGCGCAGCTGCCGTCACTTTCATCTCGGACTTGTCCCTCTCGCGCCAACCTTGGAGGCTTGTCCCGTGAGCTACTAAGTAGTTTTTGGTGCAATTGTAATATTGTGGTGCGACTGGCACCCTCTTGTAAGTCACGCAAAACCCATCGTATCATGTATCGATCCTGGCTTTTGTCAGCCATGCTGCTGGCATCGTCCAAGCTGCCTCGATCCACGCCTTGGCATCGACCGTTCGAGTCCTTCAGGGGGCAGAGCTTGGCTGGATTCGTGATGCCCAACACCCGCAGCCGAACCTAACCACGACGGTCCGTCAGCTGGGCCACAAAGCCCCATAGCTTGTCGGCCGGGAGTCGACCACGGGCCGCCGCATGATAACGCTTCACCTAGTATCATTTTAGGACACTGCAAAGACAGCTCACCGGCAGATGCTAAGAAGGCCCCAAGATCCTCGGAGCCAGCATGCCAGAAACAAAGCGCTTAGCAATGGCTCCCAGGATTTCGAAGGCATGTCTCGCTAGATCTACCTCCTTCTAGCATCCAGGACATTTTACCTGGAGCCCGGATGCTCTTGAAGCAGCCAACTCCGCTCACAGAACCCTGACACCTTAACCGTAAACTCCGGCTCTATAGGTTCTCATGCGTGGCTCCGGCAGGCTCAGGGGACGCCAAGTGCAAAACCCCAAAACCTCCGGAACGTAAGCATTGCCAGGATGCCAGATTAGCAACCGACTCGGCGGGCTCGTCTACCAACTCCAGGCGGAGAAAGCCTGCAAGTCCCAAAGCAGAAATGAGCCGTTTTCGTGCTGTCTGCGTCTGTGCCAGAATACCCTACCGGTCATGTCGGACGGTACAAACGAATCTTGAAACACCCTTACTTAAGGAAGCTGGCTCAGTGGTGCTTTCGTAGCCAATCCATGCATCTCGCTCACCGAACGTCGGGCTTACATGCACTGGCGGCTTGACGGTCCCGAAGAGCTGACCGAATGCCCGCGTTGGGATGGAGCCGATAGGGGCAAGTAGCAATGAAACCCCAGCCCCAATAATCACTAGTGTGGTCTCCTGATTAAGAACACACCCCTGCACATCCCGAATGCGGATTACTCAGTTGTTTGGCCGGGGGGGGGGCGGGGGCGGGGCGGGTCTAAGTTGTTGGAAGGCCAATAGTACAGTAGCAGTACAGTAGTAGTACAATACAAGAGTACAGGGCTTCTTCTGGGTCTCTTGTGCTCCTCTTCTGGGGCTCTTGGTTCTTGGGCCTCCTCTCTGTAACTACGCCATCCTTGGGCACCTTTTTGTGCTCTGAAGGCTTGAGGCTCTAGGTTTCTCTATAGAAGCTTTATGGATTTGAATTCTCTCCTCTCTGTGCCTCCGCTATCTTGCCTGTCTCTGTCTCTCCTCTTCCGGGGCGTCAGTTTGTAGTAGCAGTGTTCCCACAAGCCTAAGAAATAGGAATTTCGAACTATTGAGGCTTAGTTTATTATTGTGTGCACTTAAGTTCAGCTCAGTTGAGGGGAGCGTTACTACGCACGAGCTCACATAAGCCACCGCTGCCCAGCCAATGTAAAGAGCTCCAAAATGTGCCAATCGCCGCTGTATCTCCGTGCATACCCCGTACAAAGAATGATCCTTCCCGACTTCCCAAGATATGTAAGGTACAGACATGACAAATTCCGTCTGTAAAGATTCCAAATTTCAAAGAACTCAACAGAAGGCTGAGAGGCTCGATAGTCCCAAGCAGCGCTGGGCACGAATGCTGTCGAATGCGTCAATTCGACCGATTGTGGGCAAAGCACTGTCGACTTTGCAAGTAGGTTTAGTCCCAGGGGCCCACCCCTGCAGCTGCGAACGCTGCCAGGTCCATGGCTGCGGACTGCGCCTCTGTGGGGCACACGCAAGAATGTAGGGCCTGTAGGCTCGTGCCACATTTTCCACCCACTTCTGGCAAACATCAGCAAAAGGCTCGCCGCAATCCTCATCCCCGGCCTTTGCGTTGAAGACTGTGTTTCGGCAGCCCATGTCTGCAAGGACCTGGCCCAGCAGTGCATCATTGGAGGCAATCTGCCAACCGGCTGGTTCTGGCCTTGTGGTCCTTGCCATGGGAGTCCCGCAAATGCAGCGAGGATCGCTCGCAAGGATGGCCGCAGTCTGTGAAGTCGTTCCTCTGGCACTCTCTCTCTCTCTCTCTCGCCCTCCCTCCCTCTCTCTCGGAACTTCTTACTTTTGGAAAACTTCAAGCTTCGGGATACTGGAAGAAACACAGATCAGCACAACTCGAGTCTCAAAGCCAACTCCCTTGACAAGGCTCCCCTTGCTCAGGAAGCGAGCAAAAACGCAGTGCTCCGTGTGAAAGATGGGCAAGTGCTGATGAGCTACGACCTCTGTCGCGGCTTGCGATCGGCTTCGCAAAGGAACAAGCAGTTTGGCATGCTCACGTCTCGAAGTCTCAAGGAGCAACTCATAACTCTCGACGAAGAGGTACACCCTGGTAGGACAAATGCGACAGGCAGGGCACAACTGCTCGAGATGGTGTAATTGCCTTGCCCCACCTCAATCAACATGATTCGGTGCCTAACCTTCATGGCTGCGGACAGAAAGAGACCAAGCTTTCAACCCCGCTGTCGGCACAATTTCGTGCCCGCAGCCTCCAAGCGGGCAGCTCTCTCTGGGCCCAGGCGTTTGGCCATCCTTGGCTGTAGTCCGACACACGATGACGCCTGTCTGCGTCGGCCTGCTACTTGTCTCTCCGCAGATCACGTGCGTTTCCGGCTTTCTGCGTGCCCGTACTTGAAAGGCGCCAAGTTCTGCAGACTGGAGATGCTCAGGCAGATCAGAATCTGTTGTCCCCATTGTGAACGTAAAACTGATGTTAGCGTAGTGAGGCGGAACTCAAATCTGCTACTTCCAGCAGTTGGGAGTGCCAGAGGACAAAGGTCAAGTGTCAAGCTAACTTATGCAACTTTGCTGACTGCCGTGAATGTGCTATGATTGTCCCACGTTTGCAAGCGAATGGGCGCGGTGGCGCCCATTGTGCTGCTCACGCGGACAGGTATCGTGACTTCAGGGAATGCTTTGCTCTGGCACAGGTAGTTTACTGGTTGCTTACCTTACATCTGATATCGGATGTTCTTATTTGTTGCAACCTCCTGTCGCTTCTTAAGACAGATGCTGATGCATGGCACCACGCATGCGTCTGCTGCCGTGTGTCATTCTGCTAAGAAGTCATTCACCAAGGAAAAGTCTGTACTTGTGGTGGGCTCACACAAAGCGCATGGCCTGTGCTTTGTCTTTATTTTAAGGGGTATCGTCTCTGTCGCTTGCTGCCTGTCTCTCTCTCTCTCTCCCCCTGATTTTCTTGTTGCTACTATGTACTGTCATTCTCGATCCCAACCAGATGACACATCGTTCTCTCGTGATGCATCTACTAGACTGTTGACACAGGATCATATAATACCTTACTGATCGAATACGGTCTTGGCTGGAATATCTATGACAGGCCCAGAATCTGGCAAATCTGCATGGCACTGAGGTCGTGTGTCGGTGTGAGTCGCTCCAATCCTGCGTTGTCGTGGCTTCGAGATGGACTGCGAGTTGGTGCAGCTACGATGCCTACTGGGAGTTTCTGAAGCTCACAGTGTGCTGACAGCTGTCTGCTGTCGACAAGCTGTCATCCAGGTATGACTTCGTTCGGACAGCTGTGGGCTATGCCTGGCAAGCCCAAGTAGAAGCCGGCAGTCACGGCGTTGGCAGCGTTCCTGAGTTCTGGGCCGACTGAATCTTCAAACCAGGGGGCTCTGTTGGGGTTTGGCTGTGTAAGTCTGGGTTGGCAGATCTCAGATACTCTGTTTCCCTGGCAGTTATTGCCAGAGAAGACGTCAGCGTCAGCAATCAAGCTGACAGGCAAAGCTGCACCCCACGTTCGCTGAAGCCCCCAACCTGCGATTTGACGCTCCCGTTGCTTGCACAGTATTGACAAGAATCAGACTGAAGTCACCGACGACTTCGGGGCCATCGTAGCGGCGGCCTCCCCGAAGAAGTGATGAATATGCCGTCGCAGCAAGACATGGGTCTCAACTGTGCAGTCAATCATTGCTGCAGAACAACCAACAAGACAGATTCAAAAACCATAACGAGATCAAGTTAAACAATTTGACCACAAGCCACTCACCCCCATTTCGGAAAGCCTGACGTTGGCAGTATTTCATCGTGACATGAGGACTCAACAACAAGGGCACCTTCCCTGGCTATCCGCATTATCTGAATCTGCACCCTGCTAAGCCCCTGCGCTGTGAACGGCTGCAAATTCCAGGCCTTCCCCTTGGTCTCCCAAGCCCAGCAGTTGGTACAAAGCTCCGCTGCCCCGCACTATCAGAGCATCTGTTTCCAGGCGGCGGTAGAACCTTTTCAAGGCCAGGTGCTGCTTCCTGTCACGTTACTTCTATTAAGACAAGCCCCCACCCTGTTTCAGCGACAACTTGTGGATCTGACGGAGGCCGGTGGTAGCACTGCTCCATGACAAGGTTGACTACATGCTTTTTGTAAGGCTGAAGTATGGGGGCTCCACTAGAACGGATCAAGGAGCTTGGAGCAGTTCGGGTCCTAATACCGTAAGCTGCTCAGTCACATCAGTAGACCTCCTAGGCAAACGAAATGCCAATGAGCCCCTGATGAGCCTCTTGAGTCCCCGAGCCTTTGACTTTCGGGCAGAAGCGAGGTGACTCTTCAGCTGCAGCTGCGCAGCTGCCAAAGGCGGTCCTCATTCGGCTTGATGATGCGCGGCAGGCAGACGGCGACACGCTGCAATGCAGCGCGTGCAGCTGCAACACTTTCCTTGGAGTGACATCGCTTACCGAGCTGGAGCTATGAAGCATATGCCACTCTAGGACAGATAGACTGCATTCGTGGCACCAAAACCCTCAAAGGTTGCACTAGCGGTTGACGTGCCTGCAGGCCGTTGACCTCCAAAAAGTCCAGTTGCAACTCGTAGACCAAGCCCCTGGGTAGTGCCAGTACAGCAGCTGCTTGTTCTGGGCTGCGGCACAGGACCGTCAAGCGAGGTACGGGCAGCTCGGACTGCATGAATGATGTCGTCTTCTGCTGCTCCCATGGTGGCAGCGGAGGAGAAACCAACGAATTCAATATCTCCGCCGCCTGTGCAGAGCCAGGCTTCAGTGTCTGCGTCCGAGCGGAGAGTCGCGGAGGAGGTGCGTCTCTGACAGGCAGGTGTGAAAGCTTGATCATCCTCGCACGCTCCTCCAATGCTTCGTCCTTGTTTCGCCAAACGTAATCGCCAGGCTTCACCTCCGAGCCTAACCGCTTTAAGCGTTCCCGTGCTGTCTCCCCAAAAAACTCCAGCCGCACGAAAACAATTGTTCCTTTTTCCATGCCCGCGCTGGATTCCACTACTCCAGCCTTGGGCAGCCTCAGCTTCGCGATCTTTGCTCCCAGGACATCATCGCCGAACTCGCCGGTGTCGAAGAAAATCCCAGCTCCGGGTCTCAAGGGGACAGAGATGGCACCCGGAGCCAACTCGAGAGCAAAGGATTTCGTCTTTGCCTGTACTGCTCGGACGCGGCCTACGAGAACGCCTCGGTGCTTGGGTGCCAGTCCTCTTACAAGGCGCTGGTGTTTGGGCCCCTCCAAAAATCCAGGAGAGAGGCCGTCGTTCTCGGAGTCCTGGCCACGGGCGAAGACCTGCGCCAAGGAAGCGCGGGTGACTTCGGGCGTCTCCAGCAGCTCGGCTCCGGGGCCTTCCAGCCTCGGAGCGCTTGCGTCAGGCTCCCAAGCACGATCGATGGCCTGACGATATGCCGCTGTAGTAAGGGCCACATACTCTTCCCCCTTTAGCCTGCCCTCGATCTTGAAACAGCTTGCCCCTGCTTCGATCAAAGCCGGTACGTAGTCCAAGGCCATCAGATCCTGTGGGGACAGCAGGTATCGAGTAGCATCACCCAGATCCACAAGCTCGCCATCCTTGATCAACCCATATGGCAGCCGGCAGGCCTGGGCACATTGCCCACGGTTGGCCGAACGCCCGCCCCAAGCTTCCGATGAGAAGCATTGCCCACTGTAGGATACGCACAAAGCCCCGTGGACAAATACCTGGTCCATTGTTATCTCTTAGCCCGAAACAGTCGGCAATGTTGCTTACAGGCAGGTGGGGCTTTTACATAAGCAAGCTCGAGACTCGTTGCCTCAATCTCAACATTGGCGGCATCTCGGGAAACGCCTGCGATCTCGTCGAGACTCAGCTCACGCCCCAGCACGACACGCTCCGTGCCCAGCAGTTCACGAGCAAACCTCGCTCAAACGATCTGCACTGCACTCAGCTGTCAAGCTTCAAGCTGCAATAAGAGTAGTAGACGTAGTTGGCTCGAGCTTTCCTACAACTTCTGACCAAAAAGCTATCCAACGACTCCAAAATCTATCTGGTCTGAGTGGCAATGCTCCCGGTGCAGATGTGATTGACATCTGTGTTGAGGCATGCACTGGAACCTGAGGACATATCTCTCGACAGGCCAATGCGAGGCCAACATCCTGTACAATGAGGGCATCGACGTTTGCGTCCCCCACCACCTGAAGCGCTTCGATGGCTGTGCCGCTGCCTGGACGACCTGAATCTGCAGAGTCGAAGAGCTCATGGTCGAAAACGAGCACGTTTAGTGTGACATAGGCCTTCACCCTACGAGAATGAAGGAAGTGCATTACTTCTGGCAGCTCGTCAGTTGTGAAGTTTGCAGCTCGTGCACGCGCATTAAGGCCCACGTCCAAGCCGAAGTAGACAGCATCGGCGCCAGCACGGACGGCCGCACGCAATTGAGGCCATCCGCCGGCTGGGGCAAGCACCTCGGGTTTCTGCCGAGCTGCTGCACGTGGTGCTTCACCTGCTATTTCTGAGTCGGCTTCCAGCTCCCGGTAAAGCTCAGAGTTTTTGCGCCGCTTCCATGTGTCCTGCTTGCTCCTCACAGCTCGGGTCGAAACCCGAACATTTCTTTGTCTCAGCAGGGCGAGTGCGGAAAGCAGGGTCAAACCACACCTGCGCCGATTGTGTCCTGCGCACTTTGCAGCCTCTGCATCCAGCAAAAACCGGATGGGGTCAGTCTGGCACCTCGGGTATGAAAGCGGGTAGCCGAAAGCACGATCTCGAATGCCGATCTGCGGACGGGAGAGCATGGCGCTGAGCAGTCGAAGGGCAGCTAGCGTCCAAACGTCCCGAACCGGGCTACTGTCACATTTGCATGAGGTTCAGCGTGTCAAGTCAATGTTTGTCACACTTCCGAACTCAGTTAAGTTGAATTGTGCTGTTGCTTGAAGGAGAGGACATGCATTGACGGGACTTGGCTCGTCGGATTCTGATACTTGACGAGCTTGTGGAGATTTCGCTCGAACCCTGCTTGCCGGAATCAGGCCGCAGCCTCTTCCCAGCCCCGAGCCGACAATGCGACGGCGTAGCTGCTGTTTCAGCCGACTTTGATGGAGGCTCAAAGGAAGGTTGAATCAGCACCGTCACCTAGCATGATTCGATCGATGCAGTGTTTTCAGGCAAACTATTAAGGTCCGACATGCCACCTTGATCTACAAAGCTCGGTGTCTTAGCAACTTCCGGGCAGGGTGCTGTGAACGGTCGTCAGTTTCGCGGAGGCTGTCCTTGTCCTCCTCCAGCTTTGACAGAGTGTCCTGCCACGGGCTAAGCCGAATTCTCCAGAACCCTCCACGTCGACAGTCCCGGTAGTGTTGCATCCAGGGTTTTTTGAACAAATGCACTGCCAACCTACGAGTAGCAAACCTGGCAATCTGGCATTCTGACTTCGCTGACACAGCCGAGGTCCTGCAAGGACTTGAGCGATGGCTCCGCCTGGCCCACACGTCTCAGCTTGGCCCCAGACAAACTCCGGATCCTCCCCCTCCGAACGCCCGACAAAGACTGAGCCTGAATCCGGGCTTGTGCGACGTTGACTCCAGCCTGGCATAGCAAGGCGACAGGGTACCGGACAGGCTCGAGTGAGGCGGGTGAAGTCTCTTCTGCAGAGTCTGAGATTTCTAGAGCCTGAGAATTCCCGAGGGCAAATCCCAACAGATGTCGTTGGGCACGGTGGTGTTAGTGCTAGACGCAGCCGATACCCAACCGCAGATTCCCCTTTTGATCTTCAACCCGGTGGCAACACACTCGCCAAGCGACGCGCGACGGTCTTCGTCGCGAGTCAGCCCTGAGCGCCCACATCTACAGTTGGAACGATGAAATGCTGCTGCTCATGCCATCAGCTAGCAACACTCTTTGGGCTGAGCATGTGCCTCCAGCAACGCAGAGCTAGATAGTATACCGTTTCTCTGGTAAAGTTGTTAGACACCTGGACTGCGATGGACAACGTTTCCTGGGACCATGGTAGGCACCTTAGGATCTGTGCCTTCACGCTTCTGTCGAAAAGCACCGCTGAGAAGGTGGCTTAGGCGACTGGCCGCGCCGTGCGCACTGCCCGCTGATGCTCAAAGAACGAGCCTGCTGCGCCTCTGCAGTTCACAAAATCGTGCAAGCGTCTTGCCAGCTCGGGATGAAGTCTCCGTACATTGCAAACAATCTTCAGCCCCCGATTGGGGCATTGCAAAAACAAGGACCGCAAATACAGAACATTCTGCAGCAGCCCAGAACTCCACACTTCACCTCACATGCGTTTCAGGAAAGTGCACTAATGCCCCAATGAACAAAGAAGATCAAAGAAGCCTGAGGCCTGATCCGCGAGCCCGACTTTGCAGCTTTGGTTTGACGATTCATTCCGATTTCGTTGGTTACAGTTGGCAACAAGATACGGAACAAGGAAAGTATGTGCAGACATGTCTTATATGGCCCCATTATGCCCCATTGGAGTTCCCCGAATGGCCGGGCTTCGAACTCGTACGCTTGCTGCAAAACGCAAGCAACTAATCAACCCCCGAGCCGCGCAACCTTCTTGAAAGAACAGCATGATTCTTCATAGAAACCTAGAGCCCCCTGCTCGTTTGCTCCGTGCAAGCTTGCTTCCAAGAGCGGCATGCCATCAAGAGACAAGCCGCCAATCTTCTCAGAAGTCGTCATTCATCCATCATCTTTGCACCACGCTGGTGCTTGAACTTCAGACCCCAGAGCACCTCCTCATTCACACAGTTTTTCCACATTTGTCTTCAGAATCCGCTGTACCGTTTTCAGCATCGGCTGGTGTAGTTGTCTGTCTTTTTCTAGAAGCACTGTTTTGTTTGCGGTTCCCTGCTTTGCTCAAGTCAGCTTCTTACGCCAAATCGGGAACGACAGAGCAGGCTAAGTCTTCATCCGGTGCAGCGAAGCCTTCGCCGCGTCGGCCCCCCTCGGTCATGGTACCAGTCTCGAATCTAAAGCACCCGATTCTGGCTGTCTTAAGTAGCTGACAGAAACAAACGGTCAACAAACTTGTGCCAAGTGCGCTTGCTGCATTTTTCTCTACTTTCCGGCTCAGGGGCATGGAGCAGAGTCTGCTCATGCTCTAGTACGGATGCCTGCCCAGCCGGGGCAATCAGGTAGGCCATCAAATGCAAAGCCTAGTGATCTGCAGCTTTCGGAGTTCTCTGCAGCTTGCGGTTTCGGGTATGGGAGCTACCGGATGCCCACAACCCATGTGACACGGATCCCTGCGACCAAGGGGCGCAGCACGAGCTTTCAAGGTTTCAAAGGTGGTCCTGCCACGGAGAGAAACTTTCCGTGGTGTCTATACATGGCACAGCTACGAATTAAGATGACTGCAGCGGGTGGTGCCTAACAACTCTCCAGCTGAGACGGCCTAGGGGCCTAGGTGATCAACAAAAAGGAGATGCACTCAACGCTCAAGGGAGCTCAAAGCAAGCCAGGAAACCCTGGAACTTGTTTCGGCTCGAACCTAAGCCTGATTCGGTGGCATCATTTTGACAGTTGAGCCTGTAAGCCGTTACTGTAGCTGCTGTGTAAACAACGATGTTGAACCGGTTTAGCAAGCGCTGCGGAAGCCTTTCGGACGACCTCTGCCGGTCTTGCTTGCCATCGCCAGCAGTAGAAATGTGACTCGGCAGTGGGTGGATGCATAACACTACTGGGGTTTATAGGTCGCGCACTAATCCTGTCGTCAAGATGGAAGAACATGTGAAGGGTAGCTTGTTATGCTGATCAGGCGGCATTTGCGACGCTCGGAAATGCAAACTCGAAGTACTGCTCGAACTCTGCACACAGTAGAAGCCCAAAAGTTGGCAACCCAATAGCCTCGACCCTTAGGAATCATGTTAAGGGAGTCCCGGCACTGATTGTCCTTAATCCGGTTTCCAACTTTTTGGGGTTCTGTCTAGCTCCGTAAAGGGTACATCTGGTGCGGGCCTTAAGCCTGCGGAGCACCTGTCAATGGTTCTGGGGCATACTCACCACCATAAAAGAGAGAGAGAGAGAGAGAGAGAGAGAGAAAGAAAGAAAGAAAGAAAGAAAGAAAGAAAGAAAGAGAGAAAGAGAGAGCAAGAGAGAGTGAACGAGATCTGTACTCCGATCACCGCCTCAAATCACGTAGCACCGGCAGTTCGCTCGAACAGAAGGTGACCAAAAGTCCTTCTCTCCTCCCGTTCTGTCACATTGAGTGCCGGACCTACCCTGAAGACCCTGATGTGACCTCGCAGCAAAAGGCGTGGGAGGGAGCACTGCTGCTTTAAGGTACCGATGTTAGCAAAGCACACATTCAAGTCGGGCTCCAGACTGGAAACTATGAGCAGTAAGCCCATTTCCCTGCAGCTTGGGCTGGCTTGGACGCCTCCGAACAGTGCGGTTTGGAATGGCCCTCGACTCGCATTCGCACAGGGCAGGCACGGATTCCGAGCTCAGGTCCAACTACATGGTATCGAGGTTTGTGGCTTCAGGCTATTTGCTCTGGATCCACCCATGTTGCGATCAATGTGATTCTGTACACGCCGGTGACTGGGAGACATGGATGGGAATCACTTCTGGCATCTGCATGTAGTTTGAACGAGTCGGTACTTACAGCTAGCTGATACACTTTCACGAGAGAGCCTTCGAACAACTACGTATTACGTATTGCGTCTATGACCGTCCGTGAAGCTGTGGGGGTGCAGGCTGTGGATGCGGACCAGTCTATGCTGCTGCATTCGAGTCCGCTGCCCCTTGCAATCCCAGACTGATCAGTTGACATTTTGCGTTCCTGAATATCCCGGATCCGGTGCCGATGACAGGCAGCGCCTATGTACGGTAATCGGTTAAAGTCGCTCCCAATGCCAATGCTCTTAAGGAACGCATGTGGGTTACTTTCCATCTGCGGTCTGACTCACCAAAACTTGCGACCAGAACAGATGCTCCGGCCTTCCAGATATGCGGCTGCCAGTAAATTGGCCAACGTTCAGATCCCTGACAGTTCGAGAGCTGGTGGGTGCTTTTGGCCTTTTGCCTCTTGCGTACTGCAGGATTTTGGGACTTCCCAGAAACGATAGGGTCTTGGCGAAGCCACAGTCTTATCTATCTGCATAGTCTTTCACGTCCATCTGCAGCTGGTCGCTTAATCGACCGGCCGAAGAAGTGTGGCAAGTCTCAAACCCTTGACAAACCACCGGTGAAATCTGAGTTTGCCACACATTTTGCAGAGGCGGCGTCCTCAGTCGCGGTAATGCTTGGTGCTTTCAGGGTTCGCTGGCGACTGATACCACAGGAAGGTCGATAGCATTGCTTCAGTGCCGCGACAAAATGCGAAAAACGTTTAAGAGCAGGGGTAAAGACCCGAAGGATGTCGATGCCAAATCACAGGCTGATGTCATGTCTGTGCAGCAGAGTAGCACCGTTCGCATTCCCAGAGTTTGGCCATCGGCTTTGGACGGCCGCCTGCCACTGGAAAGGGACCGTGTCCTGCTTCAAGCGAGGCAGAGCTGGCTTGAGATTGCAAGGTTCTAACTCTTCGGCTTGGCAGGCAGTAGGCTTTCATAGGCTTTGTGTAGGCGAGCATCGGGAGAGACCAGAACAGCAACGCTTACGTCATCTTCGAGCTTCTCCAGCTTAGATGACGAGGCAAGCACCGTTGGTCAAGGCTGTAAAACGGAGTGCTGCATGTCAGTCCCGAGTCGAATCAGCTCAATTGCACTCGTTCAATTGCAGAAGGTGCTCCGTCAAAGCCCACTTCTCCCAAATGCAAGCTTTCTCGCCCTGATCCTTGGTATGCTCGGCAAGTGTGTGTGTGTGTCCCGCCTAGAGTTGGACCTTCCCTCTCCACGCCCTTGGGGAACGAAGTCTGCCACCTTTCAGGTTCCATGAGAGGCTTCGAAAACAACGTAGCCATCATGCGAAGGCCGACGCTGTTGTCAAGAAGAAGACACAGCTAGTAGTAGTAGTAGTAGTAGTAGTAGTAGTAGTAGTAGTGGTGGTAGTGGTAGTGGTAGTGGTAGTGCAGTGGTAGTGGTAGTGGTAGTGGCAGTGGTAGTGGTAGTGGCAGTGGTGGTAGTAGTAGTAGTAGTAGCAGTAGTGGTAGCAGTGGTAGTGGTAGTGGTAGTGGCAGTGGCAGTGGCAGTGGCAGTGGCAGTGGTAGTAGTAGTAGTAGTAGTAGTAGTAGTGGTGGCAGTGGTAGTGGTAGTGGTGGCATTAGTAAGGGTAGTGGTAGCTGTAGTGGCAGCGAGAGTGGCAAGGTGGTAGTGATAGTCGTGGTAGCAGTTGTAGTAGTAAGTGGTAGTGATAGTAGTGGTAGTAGTGGTTGTGGTGGTGGTGGTAGTAGTAGTAGCAGTAGTGGTAGTAGTCGTCGTACTTGTAGTAGTAGGCTCACGGTTGGTTGGTAATGCCATGTTCTTGTCTATCTCAATGTATTATTGGGGGCGCTTGAACTGCTTTTATTCTTTCTCGACGGGGTCCTCCTT